TAGACGAAGGAGAAAATGGGAAGAGGAAGGGTGTGGAGCAGGCTGCCTTGAAGAGGAAAGGGTCATGCTGGCCCAGATGGAGGGTATCACTGGGGATGGCAGGAGCAAAGCAGCTCCCACCTGAGTGCCTCCGGAGTAGCAGGGAGGTCATCTGCTGTGAGTGGCAGGGAACAGGGCTGGCAGGAGGCCGGAGGAGAGCGGTGGAGCTGTGGAATGGCTTCCTAAGGGAATGCGAGAGGGACTGGTTCAAGCTTAAGTAATGGGGTGGCAGAGGGACACCTTTCTCTCTCTTACCAAATGATCTCTGCACAGGCCAGTTCCTATTTCCCTGCCACCATAACGGAAGCCTTCTGAGCCCTCACCAGAAGCAGATGCTGGTGCCATGCTTCCTGTACAGACTGTAGAACCATGAGCCAAAGTCAACCTCTTTTCTTTATAAATGACCTGGCCTCAGATATTCCTTTATTCCTCTGCAGTTTAGCTACCTTAGCGAATTGCAGCCTCTCTGGGCCCAGTCTCCTTCTGTGATGAATGGGGTCCTAATCACAGGGTGTGTGTGAAGGTGACATGAAATGAAACACTTCAAGTGACTCTTTAAAGTAGGAGTTCCATCAACACAGTAAACAGAGCATCTTTCTTTTCAGAGCAAGTGCTGGAAGACAGAGGTAATGGTACAATGCTATTACATGTACCTGTGATAATTAAATTATCTGGAGAATAATTTTTTGAGTAGCTATGGCAAATCATTTTGGATTAAGGGGAGATATAAACAAACTGAGTCGCCCTGGCCCGGTGGCTCATGCCTGTAATCCCAGCACTTTGGGAGGCTGAGGCAGGTGGGATCACCTGAGGTCAGGAGTTCTAGACCAGCCTGGCCAACATGGTGAAACCTGTCTCTACTAGAAATATAAAAATTAGCTGGGTGTGGTGGCACACTCCCAGCTACTCAGGAGGCTGAGGCAGGAGAATTGTTTGAACCCCGGAGACAGAGGTTGCAGTGAGCTGAGATTGTGCCATTGCACTCCAGCCTGGGCAACAACAGAGCTAGACTCTGTCTCAAAAGTAAATAAATGAATAAATAAAAATAAACAAACTGAGTCAACAATCTTAAAGAAGAAAGACAGGAAGACGAAAACCCCTGCTACCCATTGAGGCCACTTGTCAGGACAGCATGGCCTATCAGGAGAGGAGAGACAAAGAATACAACCAGCTCTTGGTAAAGCGGGCATTTGCAACTGTACATCACCCCCCCTTTAAAATGCAAGGCAACCCCAAGTGTAACACAATCCATGAAATTTCAAGCAAATAAGTCCATGATTTCCATAAACATTCCTTATAAAAGGATAACTTTAGTATATAGCTGTAGCCTTTCGATATCTGGTGTTAGGCCTTTGTCTTCAATTCAATATGATTTTAGTTAAATTTTTTTATATTTAAAAATTTCCCCTTTTCTTATTCAGGTAACTTACTATATCTTAGTTTTGACAAAAAGAGTTTAGCAGCAAATATTGAATAAAGTCTACTAGACAAAAAAATAGTGTATTTTTACAAATTAATACCTGATTCCTGTTACTTTTCCAGTTCAGCTTTCATGATTTAATTACTAATGTAGCTATACTTTGATATCATGGAATGACTCATGGTTTTGTGCCTTAAGCAACCAAGCCCACATCCATGCTGGGATTTAATTTAGGTGATCTCAGCCAGGGGTCCAGAATTAGGTCCCCTCTTCAAACCAAGTCTGAATTAGGTATTCACCTAATTGAAATTGAGTCCAAATTAGTTATTAGGTCCAGACATTTTTCTAGGCAGCAGATCTGTAACTATTACCAGATTCTCAAAGGGCCCCAGGATCTTATATTACCTTGGAAAGCCTGATTTTACCCTGTTCTTACTTTTCCTGTTGTTTGCTATTCCAGCACATATATTTTCCTCATACGTAACAAAATGAAATGTGAAAATGCATGTTACTAAAGTAGTTATTTTATATCCTAATTTTGAAGATGTCACGTTCAGAAATGTATCTGCAAGTTTACTTTAACCAGGGATCCGTGTACAGAAATATTGTATTGTTACCACTACGGACACACAACCAATTTTGTTTACTTCATGTAAGTTTAACTACAGAACACTTAAGAAAATTGCCATTTAAAAAGGCATAAGGCGTCATCACTTAAGTATGGGTTATTGTACCACTATTATCACGTCCATATAAATCACTTTCTAACAATACAATTTTAGAATAAGAAATAAAATTATCATTCTTTTTTAGTTTAACTATAACCATGTCTCTAGATACTTATGTATTTTACCCACAGTATAATAAGGGTCTCTTATAGAACATAGTCTTATTTATTATTTTTTTAATTCTTTATTTTTTATTGTTTATTTATTTATTTTTGAGATGGAGTCTCGCTCTGTTGCCCAGGCTGGAGTGCAGTGGCGTGATCTTGGCTCACTGCAACCTCTGCCATCCAGGTTCAAGCAATTCTCTTGCCCCAGCCTCCCGAGACATTGGGACTACAGGCACCTGTCACCACACCCGGATGTTTTGAATTTTGATAGAGACGGGGTTTCACCATGTTGCCCAGGCTGCTTTTGAACTCCTGACCTCAAGTGGTCCACCTGCCTCGGCCTCCCAACTTGCTGAGATTACAGGAGGACACAGTGTTAAGTAGTAAACATCAAATGAGAGTCTGAAAATAAGAAAAAAATAATTCCCAAGATAACATAATGATGCTGATTAAAATGTAATATAGTGTGTGTATATATGTGTATACATATTTAAATAAAAATGATTTTACATATTACCAACCCACAATTAATAAAATGCTATTTTTAAAATGGAGTATAGGCCAGGAGCGGTCGCTCACAAGTGGTGGCTGATGCCTGTAATGCCAACAGTTTGGGAGGCCGAGGGGGGTGCATCACCTGCGATCTAAAATTCGAGACCAGTTGACCAACATGGTGAAACCCCGTCTCTACTAAAAATGCAAAAAATTAGCCAGACTTGGTGGCAGATGCCTGTAATCCCAGCTACTTGGAGGCTGATGTAAGAGAATGGCTTAAATCCGGGAGGCGGAGGTTGCAGTGAGCCAAGATCACACCATTGCACTCCAGCCTGGGCAAAAAGAGCAAAACTCTGGCTCACCAAAAAAACAAAACAAAACAAAAAAAAAGGTGTATTATTATTTTTGTTATCTCCAAGAGGTGTTTTAGTAGTTTTAAAATGCAAACAAATTATTTGTACAATGTGAAAGTTTGCTTATTGATTTTATAGTCTGCTATGTAGACCAGCTAGGCTGTGTAGTCCTAATCATTTGAATCTATTAAATGTGCTATTTATCACTATCTTTTCTCTGAGATTTAAGAAAAGTTGTCTGACAGATTAGTCATGACACAGGACACCTCTGCACATGTGAGGTATGGTGTAAGCGTACCGTAGACGTTAATTATTTATGTGTAACATTCACTAAATATTGTGTCTGCTTGATTCAGCAAAAACATTAAAGGTGAAAAGAACAGAGGACTTAAGTAAAATGTTTGAAAATATGTCTGTTGTATGACTTTAAAAGTTTACTGTGATTTTTTTTTTTTTTTTTTTTTTTGAGATGGAATTTTACTCTGTTGCCCAGGCTGGAGTGCAGTGGCAGGATCTTGGCTCACTGCAACCTCCGCCTCCCAGGTTCAAGCGATTCTCCTGCCTCAGCCTCCTGAGTAGCTGGAACTACAGGTGCCTGCCTTTTTATATTTTTAGTAGAGAGAGGGTTTCATCTCGTTGACCAGGCTGGTCTGGAACTCCTGACCTCAGGTGATCCACCTGCCTTGGCGTCCTAAAGTACTGGGATTACAGGTGTCAGCCACCGCACCCAGCCTACTGTAAAATATTCTAACACATGTGGATGGATGCCTGCTTGCTAGTCAATTTGGAAGCATACTGACATGAAGGGAAGTTTTAATACCGGGGACACTGAACCTGTTAGGAAAAGATTCCATCAACAGAAAACCAAGATTTCAGCTTATGTGCACTTTCGGAATACAATTGTGCACTCTCTTCTTTACAGCTTCTTTATAGCCTGTTCATATCAAAGGAAGAAAAGCATAGGAAGACCCATATTCAAAAGGTTTGCATGGAAAAATGTAAATACAATTCCATTGCTTTACAAACACCAATTTACCTGCGTAAAGGAACATCCAGGAGCATTAGTACATGAATACTCTGAATACACATGGAGTGTCAGCATTATAAAATCCACCTGTACAATATTATCACTGGATGAGTGGATGTTTCACAGACCAACTGTCTGGTACTGCGCTAACATTCAGAAACACCAGAATACTCAGTAATGATTCAAGAACAAGCAACTTGCTAACTCTGATGTAACCAAGTGACAGCATGTAAGTAATACGTAAGCATTAATTAGCGGTACTGAATGGAGGTAATGAGTATAACAGTGGTGAAGATCATCAAGTTATCATATAATCCCACTGAAGATGACAGAGCCCCGAGGTGCTTCAGTTCCCCTCTAAAATCCCCGAGTAAACCCTATGCAACTTTGCAGACACTCCGCTTCCTCAGTATTACAGACTCCCCAGCAAGCCACCCAGGGCAGTGTTTTTGGCAAAATCATTTGCAGAGAACAAATTAACTCTCATTCTCTCACACCAAACACAGGCACACAAGAAGTTATTAAGTCTCATTGCAGAGTGCGGACCAGTTAGCGAAGTATTTGGGCAAAGAAAGGCCAACTGTCTAGATTACGTTTCACTCTTGTCCCTGAGCCTCCACGATGGCGCGCAGAGGAAGGAAACTGTCATCTGGGGCAGAGAAGGCGAGGAGAAAGAGGACACGGGTTGTGATGGAGTCCGGGGGGCAGGCTGGAAGCGGCATAAGGATGTCTAACAACAGGGGAATTAGTTTAGGACGCTGGAGGAGAAGGAGGGACCCAGGAATCTGGGGAGCTGAGGGCGAAGTGGCTGGCCGTGGTGATTCTCTTTACCTGCTGTACTTCTTGGAGTCCTGGAGCGCAAACAGCCACTGCATTTCCCTTCATTCCAGACGTGATGACACCACAGGTTTCTCCCCGGACAGCGCGGGCCTCCCCTCCGTCCTTCCTCGGCGACCGCAGCGACGACTCTGCTGCAGGGCGGGGGAGCAGCTTCTCCAGCCGCGGGCGCCCACTTCCCTGTCCCGGCTCCGGGTGCTGCTGGCCGGGGCGCGCGGGAAGCGGGGGCTGGGGATCCCCCAGGAACTCACCCGGGCTGCTGCACCGCTGCCAGCGCAGTCCTGCGCCCAGCCCAGCCCAGGGCGCCGCGGGCGGGACGCGCGTCACCTCCCACCGCGCACGGCCCCAGAGCGCGCCAGGCTGGACCCGGAGCAACCCTCCGCCCCGGGCGCTGCCAAGTCCCAGCACCTCGCGCTCCTCTAGATGCCCGAAAGCGCCTCTCCAGAGCAGCGTTACGTTCCTCTGTGTCCTTCCCGCGACGGGTCCCGCCATTCCACGCCTCCTGTGCCCCTCCATGTCCATCAGCGTGTGCCTCTCCAGCATCCCCCTCCCCTCCAAGTTCCAACACAGCATCCCTTCAAACGTACCCCGCGTCCCTTCAGCGGTTCCTCTAGGGACTGCCCCGCCCCTCCACGACTTTCCATGTCTCTCCCGTTTTAGCCACGCGCGCCCCTTCAGCACGTCCGCACCCCTCCACTCCTTACCGGAGTCCCTCCACTCCCTCCCGGGGCCCCTCCACTCCCACTGCGAGCCCCTCAGTGTCCAAACTCCGCGCCCTTCCAAGCGCCCCTCCTTCGCGCCGCCCCAAGATTCCCTCCCTGCATACCTCGCGCTCCTCCCGCACCCTTCCACGCACCCTTGCGCCCCTCCACGTTGCACCTCCGCCCCGCCGCCTCTCCACCCTCAGGCTCCCCGCCTCGCTGTTGCGCGCAGGTGGCTTGACAGGGACAGTTCTCGCTCCCACCCGACTCCTTCGCTGCAGAAGCTGGGCGCCTTCATCTTTCCAACCCAACTACTGCTGAACGAACGCATCTTGGGCTTGGAGCGTGGGACCACAATCTTTACACTTCTGACCCAGGTCCTTTACTGTCAGAAAGAGCACCTGTGGCGATTTAGAGGGGGAATGGTTCCATCTGCGAGGCTTTAAAAGCCTTGCCGCCCAGCCGCCCCCCAAGCACCCGTGGCGTTCAGCACAGTTGACTCCTAGACGCTCGCCCAACGCTAGGTCCCGGTCCGCCGCTAGGAGGCACCCGCAGGGGCTCGCAGGAGCTCGGCTGCGGTGAGAGCAACGCTGCGCTTGAGTTAGGGCTTCCAGGCGGGCTCTCAGATAGCAAATGCCGATCCAGGACAAGAAAGCCGCTTCACTGCGTTCCATTTTCAAGGCCTGAAGAGGTTCTCTGTATGACATACAGTTTTCCAATTAGTGTTTGTGTATTTCAATCACTTATTTATTCGTTGACACATGCATTACGGGGAGCATCTTGGTTTTAGCAGCTTCGTGTGAATGGTATGGGTATCCGAAAACGTTTGCTGAGTGCGCTAAAGAGGTAAACTTTCAAATGTACTCCCCAAAGGATCATGCCGATGTGTTTTATGATTTTTTTTAAATAAAAATCTGGTACCACATTTGGGACTAAGTAGAAACATACAGATGTTGGACCATTTAAAATGTTTTTACATAACAGAATGGATAACTGCAAGGCAGAAATGTTTACAACTTCTAGATTATACTTTTTAAAAGCAAACTTTTGCAAAGATGAAAATAAAAACTTGAAAAGCCAATTTTCCAGAAATGTCCAGTGCAATATTTCTCTAGTTACTTCTCTGTCTTCGAGATGACAGACAACCATAATCGTTTTCTAAAAATATTGCCTTCAAGAAGCAAAGGTTAAACAAGATGTATATAGAAATATATTATAAAGGATACATTAATAATTTCCTACATATTTCACAGGCAGCAAATGACAGATATTGTGAATTGTTGCTCTAAAAATGTCCATACTAATCAGTAAACTTTGCAGTTTAATATTTCTGCCAAAGAATTCAAAAGTTACTAATGTGTTTTAATTGCCAAAACTAACATGATCTCAGAGCCAGAACTTCTCCTTTGTTGGCTTAGAAAGAAACTACTGGCAACAGTTTGTGCTGGGGATGATGATCGCAGTGGGGATCTAGAGAGTTTATGAGTTCCCTGATGAAAAGCTGAAAATATCCCAAGTGGTAAATGAAAACAACCAGACATGGACAAGGGACACCATCCCCAGACTGGACTGAATGTCTTACCAGTAAAAATAATTTTCAGCAACTCAATACATGTATATTTATGAATTATATGCATTTATAATTTATTGTGTATTTTCTGTGACTACCAATATATTGTTTACATTGTAAAACAGAGAAAGAGAAATTTTAAATGGATGTATTAAAGAATAAATATGAAAAGCACTGGAACAGTGAACTGCACATCTCTGAAGATCCTCTCCCCAGTGAAACAGCTCTACCTGATAAAAACTATTTTTATTTTGTTTTGAAATTTATTTTTAGCTGTATTCAGCTTTATTTTTAAAAATTAAATGATAACGTAATTTTTAGTTTCAGTAGACCTAGGGGTAGGAATAGTTTTTGGTTCCGTGGATGAATTTTAGGCTAGTAAAGTCTGAGATTTTAGAGCACCCTTCACCCAGTAGTATACATTGTACACAATATGTAGTGTTTTTATCTCTCACTCCTTTTTCTGGCTTCTGAGTCTCCAGTGTCCATTCTACTACTCTGTATGCCTTTGCACACCCATAGCTTAGCTCCCACTTATGAGTGAGAACATACGGTACTTGCTTTTTCATTCCTGAGTGGCTTCACTTAAAATAATGGCCTCCAGCTCCATCCAAGTTGCTGCAAAAGACATTATTTTGTCCTTTTTTATGGCTGAGTAGTATTCCATGGTGTAAAAATACCACATTTTCTTTATCACTCATCAGTTGATGGCTACTTAGGTTAGTGCCATATGGTTGCAATTGTGAATTGTGCTGCAATAAGCATATGCGTGCAAATATCTCTTTGATATGGTGATTTCTTTTTCTTTGAGGTAGATACCCAGTAGTAGGATTGCTGGATTGAATGGTAGATCTATTTTTAGTTCTTTGAGAAATCACCATACTGTTTTCCAAAGAGGTTGTAGTAATATACATTTCCATCAGCAGTGTGTAAGCATTCCGTTTTCACCACATCCACACCAACATGTGTTGGTTTTTGACATTTTAGTAATGCTTACTCTTGCTGGGATAAGATGGTATTTGTGGTTTTAATTTTCGATTCCCTGATGATTAGTGATGTTGAGCATTTTTTCATGATTTTTGGCCATTTGTACATTTTTTTTTTTTTTAGAAATGTCTATTCATATCATTTTCCCGCTTTTACATGGAATTTTTTCCCCTCGTTTCTTAGTTTTGGTTTTTCATAGATTCTGGGCTAATGTCCTTTGTCAGTCCTAATTTGCAAATATTTTCTCCCGCTTTGTGGGTTGTCTGTTTACTCTGATGATTATTTCTTTTGTGGTGCAGAATCATTTACTTTAATGAGGTCCACGTATTTATTTTTGTTTTTTCCGCCTTTGCTTTTGGGGTCTCAGTCATAAATTCTTTCCTTGGGCCAATGTCCAGAAGAGTTTTTCCTACATTTTCTTCTAGAATTGTAAAGGGTTTCAGGTCTTAGCTTTAAGTTTTTGATCCACTTGAGTTGATTTTTGTAGTTGGTGAGAAGGAGAGATCCAATTTTATTCTTCTATATGTGGCGATCCAGTTTTCCCAGCACCATTTATTGAACAGGGTATGCCTTCCTCAATTTACGTTTCTGTATGTTTTGTTGAATACTTGTTTGTTATAAGTATTTGGTTTCATTTCTGTGATTTCTGTTCTGTTCCGTGGGTATATGTATCTACTTTTAGACCAATGCCATGCTGTTTTGGTTACCGAAGATTTTTTTTTTATTTTTGAACCCAACTATTTAAAGCCTCTGGCATCATCCTAAGGGCATATAGCAAATGGAGAAATATTTTATTCATAAAATCTAACAAATATTCGTAAAAAATAATGAGTTTGTGGCATTTGAACCACTAACCACTCAGTCCCCACCCCCAGCTCAGTGTGACGGAAGCTGTACTCTTGGTAGGTGTGGCCAAGAAGATAGACCCCAGTTATTAGTCCAGGATTTTTTTTTCCAGAGGTGCGTGGCCTCCATCATTTTCATACCTAGTCCACCAAAGCATGTATGTAAATTCCATTCTAGTAAAGTATGTGCGGGAGGACTGGGGCTTTACCGAACCACCCACTACCCAGCCACCACTGTAAGGTGGAAGTTCTATTCAAGTTGTGTCAGGTCCAGAATACTGGACAGCTACTGCCCTCGCCTTAGCCAACACATGGAGCGGAAGTTCCATATTGGGAGAGGCAAGCTGAAAAGACCAAGGGCTACTAATCCCACTCAGTGTCCTGCTCATGAAGCAGGGATGTCACTCTGAGAGAAGCAGGCTGTTGTCTGCACTCCCAGATCTTGAGCCGTCTAACAAAGTTTCTTCCTAGGAGGAGAGGCAGACTTTAAGAATAGAGAACTTCATAGCTGATTTCATTTGAAACAGAAATGGGGAGAAGTTCACTATGAAAAATAATGGCGATCTTGGTAATAAGCAATTAAGAGAAGACTGCTACCTCCACTATAGCAAAAAGCTAAATGGTAGACCAGCTAGAAAATCAAGAGACAACCAGGAAAAAAGACTCAAAAAGGAGTCCTCCTACAGTTGCAGGAGGTCTCAAAGACTACCCATAAAAAAGGAGGCTGGACTGTAATTAAATTCAACTATGGAACAGTTTATATTCCAAGTATTGTCAAAAATATTAGAGCAATCAGCTAAGAATTAGTAAAGGCTAAGAACTGGTGTAATACTAATAAAGACAGATCAGTCAGATGCTTAACAGGGAGATCAGGGAGAGACACAATCAGTGAAAACTTGGCTAACATCACAGGGATTTGGGGAGTGGTATGGGTCAGGAATATTGTATGCATCACCAAGGTTGTACCATGTGACTGCCTGTAACAAGCTGCCTGCAGAGGGGAAAATAAAATTCTCTGAAATAGTCTAACCAAATCACTAAACAAGTAAACCACAAACCCTGGGGATGGAGGGGAGGGAATTAGAATCCAGAGTTTCTATGATAC